CCATACATGAGCAGTAAGACATAAAGCAGTGAACACACAGTGTTGAGAAAGGCAGCCATATTAAAACGTAGGACTTAAAACATAACGTAGAAAAATTCCACAAGAATGAAATTTTTACGTTTTACGTTTTACGTCTACCAATCAATAGCGACTGAAAATTTGTTATGTTCTACGTAGCTTTCAAGGGGATCAGAGGTTATTTTTAAAAAACATTGAAAATAAAATATCGGGTAAAAATTTGTGCCCTCGTGCCACAGTACTGTACGTATAATGGTTATTTGGCGGCTTTGGCGCTCACGGAACTTGGTAAACATATCCCTTTTACGTTTAGAAATGTATTGCAAATTTTTATTCTATCACATGAATTTATGTAATACATTATTGCACCGACAGATAAACTGCAGAAGAGCAGCGTCTATCGTATTTCAAAAAAACGTTGGCAGACAACTTTCTATATGGTACGGATATACTGACTATCTTTGCCTATTTTGAAGTTGGCATAAGGAATCATACATATCTCAAAATCAGATATAGAATTCAACAAAAATTCTGTTAGCGTACAAATCGCGCAATATAGAAGAATACAAAAAGCCCTTGATGACAGATCACCAAGTGTCAAAGAAGGTCGTACAGGTTAGGACATTTCTTTCAGCTCCTTGCCAGGTAAGTTTTGACAGTAATACCAATGAACGTTTGCAATATCGAATATTATAATCAATTCTATCATTAGCAATTTTTTGCAGTTGCTTTTTAATCTGACGGTAGCTAATTTACATTATACTATAGATGTAGTGCTGCCGACTTTATAGGATTATATGTTGAATTCTACTCATGTAAATGTTAGACACAGTGCAGTATTAGCTACTGTGTAAATTCTCGAAGCCGTATACAATCACTGTAACAATACAAATTAGACATTATCGGTAAGAAAATGTAAAATTTTTATGCAGAGATCAATTTCTGTTTTTCTTTAAATGTGTAACAATCTAATCTCTAACATCCATTTTTATTCAGGAGCCACGGGTGTGTAGCTGATATACAGGATATACTATAAACTGTCAGAAGTAGAAAAATCGCCATGTGATGTGAGTTGTTAGCTTAATTTATAATTTAGAATAATGGATAATTTGTATATATAAGATTTTATGTTCTTTTTTGTAGGCAATGGATAATGAGGAAGAAATATTCATACATGCATTACTAATTCTAATGCTTGGTATATAC